GTACACACGTGAGAACAGTTCTGCTCAACAGAGCCAGGCACACACCTGAACTTCTCCCCTGCCATATGCTACTTCTGGGTAGGGGAGATTTTAAACTAGATCAAAGCCATGGTTTACCTCAAACATATCTGAACGTTCCCAACCACCAGAGCTCTGGTACCATCTCCAAATTATACCTGTGCCTATTCTGACAAGCAGAGAGGCAACTGCTCTTCCAACACTGGTGACAAGCCACAATTGCTCCTAAATAAGAGCCTTCTTTTGATTCAATCCTATCGGCCCAGCCAAGATTGCTGCTCACTTCCCTTCTTCTGGCTCCCAGCTTGCTCTCAGGAGATGGTCTAGCCTGCCTCTGACCTCTTGGAAGAACGGGATAAACTCCCACCCAGGAGGAGTCATCCTGTGACATATGACCTGGCAGCCCATTCTAGTCCCACTCCAGAGCTTCACACTACAGACAAGAATTTCAACAAACCTCTTCTGAGCTCTCAGTGACTCTTCTGGAGTCATAGTGACTGGGCACAGGAAGACTAATGGTCAGTAGGAGTCGATGGCACAAGAGCTGTTTCAAGTGAGTGGAAAGAAAACAGCTCAGCAAGCTGATTTGAACGTCTCTGAGAAAAGGGGCAGGGGCAGGGGGTGGGTGTTGCTGATGCAGAGAGGGCGAGGTAAGAGGCAAACAGTTTAATAACTGAAATTTCTTAAACTACTGTATCATTCTGAATTCTCCTTTTTCAATATTACAGGTTCAATGTTCTTCAATTCAATCTCAGACCCAAGAACTGACAATTTCCAGGAAACCTGTGAATTCTTTGGACACAAATAAAGTACTTAGAGACAAAGCTCATGAGATAAAGAGCTTTCTCACAGCTTAAGGTGAAAAAGCGTGCAAGACACTAGGCTCAAAGGCTACGTAACCTACACTTTTAGACTACCTATCTCCCTCCCCGAAATATGGCTTTAAAACAAAGACATAAAATAACTAACAAATAAAATACCCTCCAACATTAACAACACAAAGTCCTAAAATATCAGTCAAAAATAACATCAATCCACAAGGACTGGTAGGACTTGAAAGATTCACTGACAGCTAAACATACATTTCATAGTTGTAAAATACAGAATCGGCCTAAACACTACACTGAACACTGGAGCCCGCCGGATCCAGCCATTCATTGTGCTGGATAAGCTGATTGACTGGTTAGTGGTTTCCCCATATTTTTTTAAAAAAGAGTTCATAGCATTCGCTCCAAAGGCACAGTTTGCAAACAAACATCCAGAGAGTGGGATTAGAGGTATCAGTCAGGTATTAGCTGGCTTTCACACAATTCAAAATGCAGCAAGCAAGCTGCAAGTCCAAGCACTGCTGTGAATGGTAGTAACACTCAGCCCACTAAAGAGAAAATTCCTGGGTGGACGACAGAGGAATTCCAGATCCTTCAGAGGAATCCTAGGTGGAAAGAGAAACAAGAGCACTGAGCATATTTATCATTATTTCTTTTTGCAAACATCCCACCTGAAAGCTAGAGGATCTATATCTAATATTTGTTCCAATCTGTGAGGATTAGACTTTAAGAATTTATGACTCTGTAACACAGTGGTTAAAGTGCTCAGTTGCTAACTAAGAAGTTGGCAATTCAAACCCACCAACTGCTCCATGGGAGAAAGACGTGGCAGTCTGCTTCCATAAAAAAGTACAGTCTTGGAAACCTAATGGGGAAGTTAGGTCACCTCACCTGCAAGACGTTACCATGTAAACATAACCTCAGTCCATTTGATCGAATCTTAGTTCATTAATCATCTTATTGATAATAAGAGATATCCCTTTATATTAAGTGTGTATTTGGTAACTAGGGCTACACTAAGTTCTTTAGGTACATTATCCCACTTATCCTTCCAACCAGTTAGGTTGCCATTTTCTGGATGAAGAATCTGAAGCCTGCACAAGTCAACTTGCCCCAAGATATACTGCTGTTAAGTAGCAAATCTGGGACCTGAACCCAAGCCTAACTGAATGCAGACTTGTGTTCCTGCCCCAACTGCCCCTTTTACCAGCAAATGTGTACTAAATGCCCACTAGACACCAGACACTGGCATTACTGAGAGTAAGAGAAAAAAGGGGACAGGAGACTCCATATAGATGAAGTCTGATCTTTGTTTTTCAGAAGAGAAAATAGTTACTGCAATAATACAAGGAAAATAAACAACTACCAAAATCATATTAGATACAACATTTTATTTGAGCCAATAAGATTTCAGAGAAAAAAGAATGATCTCTGGCGACATTAGCCAGAGGAGATTTCAAAGAGGAGGGAGGTTTGATGGGGGGTTTGAGATGGGCTCTGAAGTCTACGTCTGGTTTGACTGCTGAAAATCACAGCCAGTTAGTAAGTGGCTCTCAGTTGGGAGTTAGTTTACCTTTCCTTTGTCCCCTTAGCCTTTATAGGGCCAATATCTGGAGGCATTTCTGGTTATCACAATTAGGAGTGGGTACTTCTGCCATCCAGAGGGTGGAGGTCAACAATGCTCTTAAACACTCTACAATGCACAGGACAGCTCCCACAGCAAAGAATTATCTGACCAAAATTTCAATCATGTTAAAGTTGGGACACTATGTACTAAATAAATATCTTTGGAGATTATATGATTGATGATAATAATAAAAATGCATTACTTTTTACCAAGAATATTGTTTTTATAAGGCTCACCCCCTCACCACAAAAATACAGAGGGTAATATTCATAAAACTGGCATAAAATAAATACATGGCAATTTAATCTGTAAGCCTGGAGACTAGAAGAAAGTTCAAATCTAGTGACACAGTCAGATGCAGAGAGGGGACTCAGTTGTGGGAGTCGCCAAGCAACTAAGAGAAAAAACAAGAGCAGGCAGCTTTAGAGCTTCGGAAAACGGGACGAGGCAGTGGGGCAGGAGACAGAGGGCGTGACCAGGGAGAGGGAAGTGGAAATGCCATCGCCTGATTCAACTGGAGGGCATTCACTATCTCAACACCTCTATTTGGCTGAACCACTGATATTTTTGAGAATCTAATTAAAACAATATATTTCTCCCCCAGAGAAATGCACGTACGCAACCAACCTATAAAGATGCATTTTACAGACCCCTTAGGAGGCCCACAAATAGTAGGTCAAGAATTCCTATTCTGAAAATTCTCAGTGAAATACTAAACCAGATTATTTTTAAGTGCATTTCTTTCTTCCCAAAACATAATTGTCAATATACACTTATGATTTCTTAGTAATCTTCCAAAATGAAAGTGACAAAAGATGTAATTCATACAAAATAATGCAGGCATCCTTTGAAAATAAATTATGGCTAGTTTTAACTAATTAACATGGAGGATAAATATTTAGCATATATAATTCCAACACTGAATGTGCCTCAATCAGGCAACTCAGCCTATAAGTCAGAAGCAAGGAGGGAAGAACAGAAAATTCAAACAATTCAAATTCAAATAAGAAGGAAACTATACTGCCAAATAATTTTCTAGGAAAGAATAAAGATTTATGTATGAGGATTGGGCTTTCTGTTCTTTCTTTTCCTGATGTCTCAAATAGTAACTGTGCTCACATCTCAGAGAAAACAATGAATAGCACATCACAACAGAAACTGACTTCATTTTTCACATGAACCCTATGCTCATATAATGAGAAAGTCTTATCCAGTTTTCTTGATAAACAATTATAGTACCTGTTAATGCCTTAATAATTATAATGTGCTTACAAAACATTTTGACCAAAATCTGTGAAGTAGACATTAGTGTTCTTCAGCTCAGAAGGAGTAGCTTTACAAAGAAATGATGACTCAATCCAAGTCTAACTACTAATTCCCACGGTCCTTCCAGTGCAATGCCTGGCTTCTTCACAGGAGACCAGTGACGTAGCCTCTTCACAGAGGAACACGAAACTGCTGCCTTTATACCTGAAATGACTAGCAGTCCCGGCATTAAATAATCCTTCTGGTCTTCAATAGCCTCAAAACCATGTTGTATGATAAAATTTCCTGTGTCCTTCTGCCTGAAGTGTTTATCTGGAAAGCTTTGCTGAATAAGTGAATCTAAAGTTTACACAAAACAGGAGCATAAACTATCTCATATTTACTGAGCATACACACTCTCAGCACTTCCATGCTTGGTTTAAACAAATTCATTTACATTTGTTTACACTTGTTTTTAATTTTCTTAATAAGCAGTCAAGACGTTAAACGACATATTGTTTACGTAATTCTGCTGTACAAGACTGCTTTAAAGTGTTCAAGAGTAAAGATGTCTGTTTGAGGACTAAGGTGCACCTGACCCAAGCCATGGTATTTTCAGTAACCTCACATGCATATGAAAGTTGGACCATGAATAAGGAAGACTGTAGAATAATTGATGCATTTGAATTACTGTTGAAAAAGATTATTGAAAGTATCATGGACTTCCAAAAGAATAAACAGATCTGAAGAAGTACAGCCAGAGTGCTCCTTGGAAGCCAGGATGGCCAGACTTCGTCTCTCATACTTCAGACATATTGTCAGGAGGGACCAGTCACTGGAGAAGGATATCATGTTTGGTAAAGTGGAGGATCAGAGAAAAAGAGGAAGACCTCTAAGTAGATGGAGTGGCGGCAGCAGCAATGGGCTCAAATGTAGCAACAATTATGAGGTTGGCACAGGACCAGGCAGTGTTTCAGTCTGTTGTGCAGAGGATTGCTATCAGTTGGTACTGACTCGATGGCACTTAACAACAATGAGCATCCTTTAGATATTTTATATGTGCGTTCCATCTGTCCAAAGACACAGGGACCACACTGGTCTGAGTGCACAGTTCTATAGTCAGCATCTGTGGGCAACAGACATCTGCTGAATGAATGCAATAGCAAAGTTTATGTAGCTTCTAACTAGAACAACACTACACTACAAATTCAAAACTATGCTGACAGACTAGATGCAGCAATAAACTAGATTCCATAAGAATAGAAAATGAGTACCATTAGTACCTTTTTTCCCCTCTTTCTTCCCCTCAGACCATTTCAATCTTGTTGGTGTCATCTTGACAGCTGGAGAGCCAGAAAAAAACTGTAACAAGAAAATTTTACAGTAGCTTAAGTGTTCTGACATTCCAATAGACAGTCTTTACTATCAGAGGAATTATTCATTTGCTCAAATTCAATGTGAAGAGTTAGTTACTGAGACTGACATACTTATCTTAGTTGATTTTATTGGTAGCTTAATGAAGTAACCATGCCTGGGATACCTTGAAGGACTACACCACAAGTAATGTAGTATCAAGGACTAGCTCAAATGTCATCTGCCCTGTGAAGCCTTCAATTAGAATGAATTGCTCTCTTCAGCATGTATGGCATAGTTACTTCACTGTATGCATGGACTTCAAAAAGTTCAGGGAAACATGGAATTGAAAAATAATGGAATCTTTCCATGAGCTTTTGGAATCCCTCTCTCAGTGATCATCTGGGCTTACGAGTGTGTTTACGGAATGAGTCAATGAATCACTGAGAACCTCCCCCAGAGAAGATAGCATAAAGGAAAGAGTTCATTGAAAACAAGCACAGTTGAAGGGCCCACCGAAACACAAATGACAGTGTAACAATATCCCCCCTTTGTTCAAGTACACACATACAGACAGGAAGTCTGAAGCAGTTTCTTACTGAGCTCACATTTTCTTTGCTGGCTGTATTCAATTCACCAACGGCCGCGGATTCCGGAGTAGGGCCCTCGTTTTTCTTCTCTGACATCATCTGACTCCCCAGGACCTTCCGCTGATTTAGAAAGAAAAAAAGTACTTTACTTATATACGTCTACTTTGTCTACAGAGTCCTAGTGTGGTGCTGTGGGTTAATGCGCTCATTTGAACCACAAGGTAAGCAGTTCAAGCTCACCAGGAGCTACTGGGAAACCCTACACAGGGATGCTATGAGTCAGAACCAACTCCACAGCACATAACAACAACAACTGTGTTTATGCAGGAAAAAGATGAGGCTTTCTGCTCCCATAGAGATTTACAGCATCGGAAAACCTATTCAGGGTTGCTATGTCAGAACCAACTGCACGGCACAGTACCACCACCAGCACCACTGTGTCTATATTATAGCTAAACTGATCTTCAAGACCTCAGGTTCTTTAGGTTAGAAAAAAAATCTCAGTTTTCTGAAAAATTCTGTGAAGATCCTCCCATGCCATCTTATACAGGGGTCAAAAGCACATTCCCAAAAATACAACTACAATCACAGCCTTTCTTCTGGTGATGATTCTTCCTCTACATGTTGAAACAGCAGAAGCCACTTGCTAGCCTACTTAAACTAGCCAACACAGGCCAATTTCAGAGTGCCTCTGAACTCCAGTTACTTACCAGTTTAATTTTTTCCCAAAAGATGAATGGTCTCTAGCAGCTATTAAGAGTCCCTCGTCCTTCCTCCTCCCCCTACTAAAGACACTTAGGCTGGATCCGCTTTAAGATTTTACTTCCCTGTCATGTCATCACACAGGTTGGAAATTTGGAGAAAATCTATACGAGTTCCTAATATAGCCATAAGAAGCTACAGGCCTTCATAAGGGGATCACATGACTATTGTGCAATTCCAAGCAAGACTAACAGTCCTTCATCTCTAAACAGCTTAGGGGCTGATGTAATCTACTGTAACAGCTGACAGTGACAATTCTACCATCTTGGAGAAATCTTCCCTTTTTTCCCCTTGGAGAATAAATTTGAATTCCAAAAAAAGAACATATCAAACCCAGAACATTATACTCCACAACTGAAATCCCAGCAGCAATACCCAGAATCTCCTGATGCAGTCAATTATTTACATGAGATGAATCCCAGAGGGGGGAAATCTAGACCAAAGAGGTATCAAAGTGTGTCCACAATCAAATAGTTAGAACACAGAAGCATTAGGAAAATAAGACCAGTAGCATTCTCCTTTTGAAAGTCAGCTGGTACCTTAGAGTGAGCTGCACTGGATACGACAGGAGCCACAAGACTAGCTGTAAAGCTTCCACTCACTTCTTTATTAAACGGTGCTGAAAATATACGTAACACAACATACACCATCTCAACAATTTCCTCAGGTACAATTTATCCACTGAACTTATTAAAAGACATCTCACCACTCCTTTTAAAAAGCTACTGAACAGTTCAAGAGGGAGCCTGGGTCCAGAGGGCACGGGGGAAGGCAGAATCTCCACTGAGTAGTAGCCAGTTTGTCTGGGTGGGACTGATGAAAGGAGATGGGGATAGCACTCATGCGGTACAACAGTGAATAATGACTATCAGGACTGACTGTGAGGGTTGGAAATGTAAAGGTAGACGTTTGTAGCAAGGGGAGGGAAGTGGTTGTCTTTGCAGTCCTGGAGCAGAGAACCCTAGGACCATCAAGGGAGAAGAGTGGAGTGTGGGACCCTACCCAGAGAAACAGTGACACCAGAGACAGAGGCAAAGACGATGACGTGGAGAGATGGAGCGGCTGGGAACTCTAGACCCAGAGAGGGAGAGGGGCTGTGTGCTGATGACCAGGGGGCAGGCTTGCAGGGTGTACCATCTGGTTGGTTGATGATGCATGGAGTGGACTGTAATCATGGCAATGAAATGATATACGATAGGATGAATGTAAAGCTAATGTTCTCCCATGTAGACTATCATATAATTCACAATAAAACATTTTTTTAAAAAAGGATATTTGGTTGTGACAAAAAAAAAGAGCTACTGAACAAAACCTTACATTTATTGTGTGACACTGTAGGATCAGCACTGGACTACTAACCACAAGGGTGGTAGTTCAAAGCCACTAGCTGCTCCTTGGAAAACCTCTGTGAGTCAGAACTGACTCAATGGCACTTTACAACATTGTTAGCTCAAAAATCTCTTTATAATGAAAACACTTTACCTCTCTATTTCATAAAATCTGCAAAGATTTGTGTTTATACTTGTTATAAAACGACTTATCTTAAGAGAATTATAAGCTCTTTTCTAAATTCTCTTATATTTGCATTTCTAGTTATAGTTGTTGTTGTCAAGTGCCATCGAGTCGATTCCGACCTTCCGACCCATAGCGACCCTGTATAGGGTTTCCAAAGAGCAGCTTTTCTAGTAGCAATTAATAATACAGAAAAAGCCAAGAGAACAGCTCCCTAAGAACTGAAAACTACACCCACCTAAGTTCAGATAAAAATACATATATTTGACTAACACATAAAGAAACATTCATTTGACGATCATTTTAATTTTCTTCAATCAGCTCTATGACAGAAATCAGATGGGATGACAGGCTTCTCAAATGAGGAGGAAAAATCAAAGATGTTTATATTATTAGCCACATCTAGGCAGGTGAATGTACCTCTAGGGGCCTAACAGAGAAAATCTTGATGTCAAGTAAGCCTAATGTCCCAGAGGCTACTGACCTCAGCAAACTGAATGCTAAACTTGTATATATCATACCTAGGACCAAAATTAAGGATAGATGAAGTTGCAACTGCTAACCAGCTTTAAAAGAAAAAAACATTAGAAGGACTCCTTATAATGTTACTAAGGAACTCTGGTAGCGTAGTGGTTATGAATCGGGCTACAAACTGCAAGATTAGCAGTTCTAAACTACCAGCCTTTCCATGGGAAAAAGATGAGGCTTTCTGCTCCTGTAAAGATTTACAACCTCGGAAACCCTGTACAGGGTTGCTATGAGTCAGAACAAACTCCACAGCACATCACTACCACCATAATGTTGTTGGTATAGATTTTAATGGAAATAAAACAAGTTATAGAGCAAACAATAGTGCTGTTCACTCTCCAAATAACCAGAACCTTGCGTTAGTTTAATCTAGAAATTCTGAACCCCATAATCAATGTGTAGGATAAGCAAAGGCCTGCAGGTCAGTTCAAACCCACCAGCTGCTCCTAAGAAATCATATGGTGCTGGTTATGTGCTGTGGCGTCGGTTCTGACTCAGAAATCCTGTATAAGGTTTTCAAGACTGTAAATCATTACAGAAGCAGAAACCTCATCTCTTTCCCACGGAACCACTGGTAGTATTTGAACTGCTGAGCTTGAGGTTAGCGGCCCAACTCGTAACCACTACGCTACCAGAGCTCCTTTGAAAGGCCTATACAGGGTCACTGATGAGTCCTAACAATAACATCAAGTATCTACTGCCACCTGGTGGCAATGGACTTTAAAGACAGGTTCAGTTCAACGAAGAAGACTTAAACTGAAGCTGCAATTGTGCTGAACAACAGCACAACTGCATGTTTTGTTTTTCCCTTAAAAACAAGATTATTAATTAAATTGATAAAACTGATAAAAATATTAAGTTCACAAACATGAGAGGCACTTAAAACTCACTAACCTATTGGAAAATCCATTTTTCTAACAATCTCACTTCTCCGTGAATTGAGACTCACAGAAAAGCATCTAACTGCAAAGAAAGTGTTAAGGACTCTGTTTTCAGCTTTAGAGGAAAGGAAAGGGCCCTTATTTCTTTTACTTCACACTTCTCTCATCATCATTGTTGTTAAAAGTGCCATTGAGTCGATTCTGAGCCATAGCGACCCTGTATAGGGTTTCCAAGGAACAGCTGGTGAGCTTGAACCACCGACCTTGCAGTTCAAATGGCTTTGCAGTCTGATGCATTACCCACAGCGCCACACAACTCCTCTCTCATCTTAAAGCCCATGATTTATACAGCTTCTCTCATTTTGAAACACAGCAAAATGCTTTGAAAAATAATTATTTCCAAATTATCTCACTGTCCTCTTGCAAATGAGCCATTTATAGGATCACAAAGAGAAGAAAACTGCTGATGCACAAGAGAAGTCAGAGAGATTTCCTTTCAGCAATGCTGAGATGACAGCATCGTGTCCCTACCTTAATAAGCCCACTGAAGGAACGGGAGCGGGTCCTCTTCTGTACCCATGGAGTAGAAGGTTCTCGCCCTGGTGTTTGGGTCGCAGACTGCTTATTAAACTAAAAGAAAACATTTTATTATTATTCTCCCATCAAGAGACAGCATCCTGTGATGATGAACAGCGAAGTCTAGAAAAGTCCATGAGAAAGAGAAACTATATATATATATGGATTAGTGGGGCTGCAAGCAAGTCCCAAAGGCAGAAACAGTGCTGCCAAAGAGAAGTCAAAGTTCAGTAAATTACTCTGAGGAATCCTGCACTTCACAGTCCTTATTTTATAAGCACTGAGTCTGAGTTAATTTTCCTACTTTACAAACAAGAAAACTGAGACTCAGAAAGCTTACATAACTTGCCCCAAATAGCCTGATGATACTCAAGATATTCTGCAAATAGCATGTTGAACATACAGAGTCATCAGCACAACCTAAGATAGGAAGTCAGTTAATAAAAGTTGCACAGGATTAAAAATGTGACTAAAGCTTCCACAACCTCCCAACCCCAGGGCCAGGGGTTGCTGGTGATTAAGTGATACCAGTGATTCCCTTACTTTGCTATTCATTAGAATCACCTAGCCAACCCATGTCAAACTGACTGTCATCTAGTCTATTCTGATTCATATGGACCCTATAGGATGACCAAAGCTTTTTAAATGGGTGCGTATCAAGACTGCCTACCAGCGTTCTGCTCGGAGAAAATACATCAAACCCTGTCCATTCAATCAGTATCAGCTCTCAGAAGGTAGCCCAGGTCAAAAAAGGGAAGACCCAAGCATTGTATATACTCTCACTCAATGCTTTGATTAGCCACTCATCTCCCCACTTCAAATTAATAATAAAACAGTGCTCAATTCCATGGAAGGGATTGTAATCATTGCAATGAGACAAAACACGACAGGATGAGTGCAAAACTGATGTTCTCCATATAAACCTATCCTCAATTCACAATAAAAGCTCTAAAAAAAAAAAAAAAGTAGTTAATTCTACTCTGCTGTCTTTTAAAACTGTCCTTTTTAATTTTCTCAATTATAATTCTGTAAATTTGTTATCAGTTGAGGTTCAGATCTGGAGGCTTAGATCCAGGTGTTCTCAAAATTAATTACCACAGCAGATAGGAAATCTAGTCACCCCTAAACAGAAATACCAAGAGCAAGTAAAAACCAACCATTGCTGATAATGTTGGCAAGGATGCACTAAGGTGGGCCCGACCACATCCAATTGGTAAGAGCATTACTTGGTAAAACTTTCTGGAAACGATGTGTCCAGAGCTTTTATCAAATGCATATTGAAAAGCACACATCATCTGTGAAGCACTCTCCCTCTAATACTTCTAATGATTTCATCTGTAATCTTCACAACCATGAAACAGGGACACTACTATTACCATTAAAAAAAATGAAGTTCCGAAACATTTCAGTATTTGCCAAGAAAATCTGGAAAGTTTAAACTTTGTAATAATACATTGGTAACCACTGGTTCTCAACAAACCTGGTTAGAGAAACTCCAACCAAACTTGGATCCTCCTGTTTAGAAATCCTCCTGTTTAGAAATCCAAGAGCCTGTATGCTTTTCTCTAGTGGGGCAGTAGTACAGAGATCGCCACAGAGGTTCCACAGACAAGCTTGTTTTTGTGGCTGAACCAAAACTTGAGCCACTAAGAGTCAAAAGTTAAAGGAGATACTTAACAACATTCCCGAGTGATTTACAACAAAAGTCACATTCCTAAAGTCCCATCACTATCTGCCTGGCTACAGGTACCTGTCTAATAAGCTGTTTCTTCTTTGCTGACTCCGGCATATTGTGTACATGTTGAAACAGCTCTTTTAATGCCTCTTCCGTGCGTTGTTGGGTCTCCTCCAGATGAGAGCAGGAATCTACCCGATTCTGTTTCTGAGATTTTGTCAGCTGGAAAGACTTAGCATGAACTGAAGTTATCAAATCAAGGTCATCCTAAAGAAAAATTAAAAGAAAAGCACATTAATATATCCTGCCAGCTTTGTTTTCATGTTTCCACAAAAGCTCAGAGTCAAAAGATGGAAGGGTTGGTGGAGAGGGACTATGGCAATCTTAATACTTTTATCAGATAAAGAGGATCCTTTAATTATCAGTTACATTAATAGTCCCATTTACATGACCTGCCCAAGGAACCGAATACTGCCAAGAGTTACACTTGTGAAAGAGTTCAGTTTTCAAAGCATCTTTTAAGCTCCTGTAATTCTCACTGCTATCCTCTGAGGAAAATACCATCATTACTATTTGTCAGAAGAAAAAAATTGAAGTTCTGCAACCAGCTGAAAGTCATCTAGATACTGATGGGACAGTATTCCAACCCAGGGACCCAGGTACACTGATTGTTGGCAGGTGCTCTTTCGTACACATAACAGGAGGAAGGCAGCAACAATCCCACGGCAGTAGGCACTGTGGGTTAATGAGCTGGACTGCAAGGTTAGTTTGAATCACAAGACTGGCTCCTCAGAAATCCTATACAGAGTCTCTATGAGTTGGAACCAGCTTGACAGTACTTAACAACAAGTAAAAGAACAAAGTAGCCCTGGTAGCTAGCACAGTGGGTTATGAGCTGGGCTGCTAACAGTTTGAATCTACCAGTTGCTCAGCGGGAGAAAGATGAGGCTTTCTGCTTCTGTAAAAATTTACATAGGAACCCTATACAGGGTCGCTATGAGTCAGAACTGACTCGGTGGCTTACAACTACCAAGTCAGAGGAACAAAACCCAACTCTCTAAGAAAGAGAAACCAGTTGAGACCAAACAATAACTCTTTTCCTGGTCATACCAAATATATACTGAATTAAAGATAAAGACTAGCTAAAGGAATAGACAAACTGGCATAATCAGAAACAACTTTCTAACTGAAATTACAAATACCTTTTTTAAACAACATAAAAGGCAGTTATACACATGGACCTCACAAAATGAAATACACAGGAATAAAGCTGATTATTTATCTGTGGGAAGAGATGGTGGAAAAGCTCAATATCATCAGCCAAAACCAGGCCAGGGGCCAATTATAGAACAGATCATCAACTTCTTATATACAAGTTCAAGATCAAACTGAAGAAAATTAAAACAAGTCCACAAAAGCCAAAGAATGTACTTGAACATATCCCACATGAATTTAGAGACTATCTCAAGAACAAATTGGATGCATTAAACACTAATGAACAAAGTCCAGAAGAGCTGTGGGATGACATCAAGAACATCATACAGGAAGAAAAAGGTCATTAAAAATACAAAAAAGACCAAAATGAATGTCAGAATAGATGCTGAAACTTGTTCTCCAGTGCAGAGATGCTAAAGCAAGTGAAAGAAATGGGAAGTCAAACAGCTGAACAGAAAATTTCAAACGGCAGTTTAAAAAGACCAAGTATATTGAAATGTGCAAAAACCTGGAGTTAGAAAGCCAAAAGGAAAGAACACACTCAGCATTTCTCAAGCTGAAAGAACTGAAGAAAAAATTCAAGCCCTGACTTGCCATACTGAAGGATTCCATGGGCAAAACACTGAATGATGCAGAAGGCATCAAAAAAAAAAAAAAAAAAAAATAGGAGATACTCTGTCACTGTACCAAAAAGAAATGGCCGATGTTTAACCATTTTAAGAGGTAACACCAATGGCGCTGAAAAAAGGAATCCAAAGTGCACTGGAGGCACTGGCAATAAAGAAGGCTCCGGGAACAGATGGAATACAAACTGGAATCTTTCAACAAACCCATGCAGCACTGGACGCACTCACTCAGCTATACCAAGAAATGTGGAAGACAGCTCCCTGGCCAAGTGACTGGAAGAGATCCATATCTGTCTCCAGTTAAAGAATGTGGAACTCATCAAACAGTATCATTAACATCACATGCAAATAAAATTTTTCTGAAAATAATTCAAAAACAGCTTCAACAGTGCATTGACTGCCAGAAATTCCAGCCAGATTCCTAAGAGGACATGGAATGAGGACTATCATTGCTGATGTCAGATGGATTTGGGTTGAAAGCAGAGAATACCAAGAAGATGTTTACTTGTGCTTTATTGACAATAGAAAACCTTTTGAATGTGTAGATCATGACAAGCTCTGGATAACACTGAGAAGAAAGAGTATTCCAGAACACCGAATAGTGCTCATAAGGAACCTGTACACAGACCAAGAGGCAGTCATTAGAACAAAACAAGTAGATACTGAATGGTTTAAAATCAGAAAAGGTGTCCACATTCTTTGGAATTCTTTCCCCATAATTATTCAATCTGTATGCTGAGCAAATAATCAAAGAAACTGGAATAGCTGAAGAACTTGACATCAGGATTAGAGGAAGTCTCATTGACAACCTGCAACATGCAGATGATGCAACATTACATGCTGAAAGCAAAGAGGTCTTGAAATACTTGCTGATGAAGAACAAAGACCACAGCCTTCAGTATGGGTTGCACCTCAATGTAAAGAAAATCTTCACCATTGAACCAATAAATACCATCATGATAAATGGAAAAAAGATTGAAGTTGTCAAAGACTTTATTTTGCTTGCATCCACAATCAACACTCAGGGAAGCAGCCATCAAGAAATAAAATGACATACTGTACTAGGCAAATCTGCTGCACAAGACCTTTATAAAGTGTTCAAGAGCAAAGATACCAATTTGAGAACTAAGGTGCTTTGAAAGTTGGACAATGAATAAGGAAAACCGTAGAACTGATGCATTTGAGTTATGGTGTTGGAGAACATTGAAGTGTACCGTGGACTACCAGAAGAACAACCAAATTTGTGTTTGGAGAAGTACAGCAAGAATGCTCCTTAGAATTAAGGATAGCCAGACTTTGTCCCTCATACTTTGTACATGCATTATCACAAGAGACTTGTTGTTGTTGTTAAGTGCCATCGAGTCGGTTCCGACCCATAGCGACCCTGTACAGGGTTTCCGAGGGTGCCTGAAAAAGGACATTATGCTTGGTAAAGTAGAAGATCAATGAAAAAGAGGAAGACCCCCAACAAAATGGACTGCTACAGAGACAGCAGCAATGAGCTCCAGTACTGTGAGGAGGAGAGGGAAGCAGGCGGTGTTTCCTTCTGTTAAATCGGAACCAACTCAACAGCACCCGGTAACAACAATCACCTTCCAAGACAGACTAAACAGAAAGTCAAAAAGTGACTGCATTTGTTTTTTAAACTTCTCACTTTTGTTTATGCTTAGGGGACATTGATTTTATATTAATAATGGTAAAATGATTTGGAAAAGGATAGCAGGAATGATGTATAACTTAACTATGTAATCAATGTTACTGAATTATACCTATAAAAATACGTTTTGTTCTGTATATTTTCACAACAAAAATGAGGTATTTACATTTAAAACTTTTTAAATGTTATATTTTAAAAATAAAAGTTATTTTAAAACTCAGCATAACAAAAATGATAAGTAATCTGTTAAAAGGCATCATTCATTTTCTTCTAAGTCTCAAGTCTTTCAGCCTTTTGATAGAGGGCTGAACCTGAAAAAAGAATACATTACATAAAAGTATACTTCCATTACCATAAAATGTTTAATATTCTGCATTTTAGAGATTTCATCAGATGCTACAAGAATGTATAAAGGCTTTATAGCCGATGTCATCACTCACACAAAGTGTATCCCATCAGTCCCTCAGGAATACCTCTGGAGCAGACAATACTGTACAGAGGAGACACTTTCATTTCAGCATATTACTTTCTTCTCAATCTTCCTTATCAAAAGTATAGATAATTTTTTAACTGTAATTACATGGCTTTACTTTGATTTCATAGTTTGTTTTAAAACGTCACTTATTTTAATTACCTCTGTTTCATTGTTTGGGCTGAGAGTAATTTCTATTTCTTTCTTACCTTTGATACTTGGGTTCTGGAGCCTAAATAGTGTAATCTGGCACATTCCCGAATATAAGCAGGAGCCTTGATGAGACAGAAAAGAAAGCCATGACTCAGTGGTTAGTAGGACAGTAACTTCCAGGCCACAAGGACAGTAGTCTCAAATGGTTTGACAGGTAGATTACTTTGAAAAACCAAAAGATTCTCAAAATGCTCTATTTCATTGTTTCCTCTTTCTTGCTACCAAAAAGATATCTCAGCAAATCGTACCAAAACAAACCCAAAAAAATGTGCTTATGAAAAGACACCAATGTAGTTGTTATTTTAAAATTTAAACACGGCATGTATATACTCAGATAAGTCAGAAACAAAAACTATAGATATTTGCAGTAATGTTTATATATTGTCGTTGCTGTTAAATGCCCTCAAGTCAGTTCTGACCCACAGTGACCCTATGAGTAGGATTTAGGAAACGGTAAATCTTCTGGGTAGCAGAAAGTCTCATCTTTCTCCCAAGGAGCGACTAGTGGGCTCGAACCACTGACCTTGTGGTTCTCAGCCCAGTACTTACCCTAGAGCCAACATGCTCCAATGTTTATACTTCTTGTTGTTGTTAAGTGCCATCGAGTCAGTTCCGACCCACAGCGACCTTGTATAGGGTTTCCAAGGAGCAGCTGGTGAGCTTGA